GGGCCTGCAGCAATGCGAGGCATCACGCTATCGGCGAGCGGAGCAAAAGACCTGTATGTTGGCGTCCCGAACTCTCGAGCAGGAGGCCTATTACCCGAGCGGAGACATGTATTCGCCCATCGGGATCCTAGCTGTTGTGGTAAGAAAATGTAAGCAGTAATATGAAAAGATACGCGAGAAGAAAAATTAATTATGAACATATATCATATGAAACCAGCATCTAGTATATGTATATATGTATATATATATAGTATATATCTAGTGGTATGTATATATAGGTTATAACTGATGGTAATATATATAAGTAGATACATAATGATTGTGTATTAGATATAGTTTGACATCAGTATATATATCATGTATAAGTATATTAGCTTTATAATATATTATATATATGTCACAACTTATCCGATTCCCATCTCTATCGATATCAACCGCCGCCACCGCCGCCGTCTTCTCTTGCAGCTGACGTTTCCTCGGCACCAGTTTGCGAGCCGCGTGCCTCCGATGTTATCCGGACTTGAAATCGTGAGTGCACACACGGGGAAAGGCCGGTACAAGCGGCGGGGGAGGGGGGGAAGCTCCCGCCGGCAGGAGGGATCGGGGAGCGGGTTGCCGGCATTTCGCTCAGGTTTCCTCCATCGCGCGCGGCTAGACGTGAATCGACGCGATCTCGCGTGTTCGTCAGCGTTAGACGTTCAGGGGTCAGAAACAAAATCAGTCTTAACCCTTCTAGAGGCAGAGCGACATTAATGTCGCCTCCCATAGAATGAGCAGAACGACATAAATGTCGTCTTTACCAAAGCCATTTCTAACAGCCTCTCTGATTGGCTAAAGCCTAGATTTCAATGTTTAGTTCGTCTGGTTATCACGAGAGGGCTCTGATGGTCACGAAACGGCACACTTTAGGCTGAAATCATGGTAAATGTTCATTGAATCACCAAATTGACAAGGTTATAGACCCGGAAGTAAAAAAGTTGTTTCAAGATGGCAACCTCCAGTAAATCACCACGTCGTTCTTTGCGAAATAGGCCCCGTTCGTTCAATATACAGCAAGTTGTGGGACTTCTATCTGATTCTGATGATGAAGAGGAGGTTGTAGATAGTGGTAGTGACCAAGATTCCAATGATTTCCCTGGTTCTGACTCAGAATTGGGTAATGAAAGTGAAAATGATGATGTGCATGCTTCTGGACTATGCAAGACGTGCTTCCCACAATATCATAAGTAAGGTAGGAAAAGGCACTTTTTTTACTATTATTGACTCTTACAGTGTATTCATGTATAATCATAATGATTTTACCATGATTTCAGCCTCAAATAATGCCCTAGAGAAGTTTAAATTAAAGTTACCCGTTTTTAGGTAATATTTGGTAATTAATTTGCCCAAATTACTACGTATTTGGGCAAAAACCTGCCTCTAAAAGGGTTATAACATTAGTCTTAACACTAACATTTTCTCGTAGACCGTCGACAGCACTTTACTTTGTTTTGTATTGTTATGAGGAAATCTGCTACGATTTTTCATTCTGGCAACTTCGCAGCGTTTCTGTCAACGGGTCTAAGAGAGAAAGTTGATGTTAAGACTAATGTTAAGACTAATTGTGTTTCTGACTACGGGCCCCTGACAACGGCCTACTAAACGACATGGGTGCAGACGAATCGCGAGCCGTCTGTTGCGTGTAACGACGTCGATCCGAAGATCGAGTTTCGAAAACGATTGCAACATACGATCGATCTGATCGAGTGTTGTCGCGGCAACGGTGCGTGAGCCACGTATCGTTCGAACAAGCACGTCACATGTCGGTTTTCCTCGCAGTGCCTGTCGCCAGGGGGCGCCACCATGGAGGGCTGCGAGATGCCCGCCGACCTTCACGTGATGCTGGGAAACTACGGCGTCGCTCTGCAGACGGAGATCGAGAAAGCAGACGTGGTGAGTTGACGACTCAGGTGTCGTCCTGATTACAGGTAGATGTTACAGGTGCGTTCTCATCATTTGTGAATGCTGCAGGTATGTTCTCATTAGCTGTAAATGCCAACAGGTGCGTTCTCATTACCTGTAGATTCTGCAGGTGTGTTTTCGTTACCTATAAATACTAGGTGCGTTCTCGTTAAGTGTAACTGCTACAGGTGTGTTCTCGTTAAGTGTAGATGCTACAGGTGCGTTGTCGCTTGCAGGTGAACGGGGCGGGCGGCTCGATCGTGGCTTCTCTCTCCGCGCTGCTCCACCGCGAGCTGACGACGGAGATCGCGTCGATCGAGAGGCTGCGCACGCTCAGCGGCGAGTACGCAGACGTCGCCGACTCCCTGAAGGTAACCACGGCAACCGAAAATCTCGTCAAGAATTTCCTCTTGTTGCGGCTCGTCGTTTCGATGTTTTTTCTATCGTTGCGGCTTGTTGATTTGATACTCTTACGGTAGTGTGGCTTGATTATTTGATTCTGTATTTTTTTCTCTCTCGTCGCGACTTGGTAATTTGATGTTCTAATTTCTCCTATTGTCGTGTTTCGAATAATCGTTAATGTATGGTCCTTTCTTGTTTCCTTTTCCTCCCATTCGTCGCCCGCGCCCCCAGTAGCCTTGGCTTAATTCGTGATCCACCTTGTGTCCTTTTGCTTCTTGACGCAGCTTGATTATATGATGCTCTATTTTCTTCTCTTGATGCACTTTGATTAATCCATGTTCTATTCCATGATTTACTATCTTCTCCGTCTTCGTCTCGTTAGCCGTGGCTGCGGGAGCGTCCGGACTTCGCGTCGTTCCACGGCGTGCGCCGCGTCGTCGATTAGATGCTCTTATGTTACGGTTCTCCTCTTGTTTCCTTCTTCGTCTCGTTAGCCGTGGCTGCAGGAGCGGCCGGACCTCGCGTCGTTCCACGGCGTGCGCCGCGTCGTCAAGTCCCTCAAGTCGCGGCTTCGCCACAAGCTCGCCGACCTGCAGGACATGGAGGAGGAGGAGGTAGAGGCGGGCAAGGAGGAGGAGGAGGGTGGAGAGGGAGAGGGGGAGAAGCCGGCGAGAGGGGAGGAGCTGCGTCTCATCGCGCACCAGCTGGAGAGGATCCGGGCAGAGCTTCACGTCGCCTTCCGCAGCGAGGACGCCGTACTGGTACGCCGGGGGTCGACGCGAAGGTCACATGGGGGTCAATGCGTGATCGCATAAGAAGCAATGCGAGGTCGTGCAAAAGTCAACGTGTGGTCATACGGTGTTCGACTAGCTCCAATCGCAGAAGTCTTCCGCCGATGTCGCCAGCATGCCTCTAGATTTTCGCGCAATTTTTATTTTATTTGATTATATTTCGTACTTTTTTTTTGTCTTTCATATTTCTGATTTACTTTATTCTCCCACAGATGGAGCTGGCGAGGCTCTCACGCGACCACTTCCCCGAGCTGAACCTGGTTGGCGGCGACCTGCCCGACCTCGCGCAGTACTGGTGCTCGCACGGACTGGTCAAGCCGGGTCGCGACATTGACCAGTATGCGGTCGCGCGGACGACGGTCGGCGGCCGGCCGCTGATGACGGCGACGTTTGCCGGGGAGCCGGTCGTGCTGAAGGTGAGTCGAAGGTTATGTGGGGGGGGGGCTCTGTCTCTCTGTCTCTCTCTCTCTCTCTCTCTTTCTCTTTGTCTGTCTTTCTCTCAGTCTCTCTCTTTGTCTGTCTTTCTCTCAGTCTCTCTCTTTGTCTGTCTTTCTCTCGGCCTTTCTCTTTCT